GTGATTGAGCTCTTCTTGTCCTAATGACGGCGTAAGTATTCCCAATAGAATGGTACCAGTGGTGCTGGAAATATTATTCGTCGTGACTTTAATCATGCCTTGATTGGTGGAATCTGGTCACTCACCAATTGAAGAGCTCTCTCTAAACAACGGTATGCATCAAGTGGTTTCTGTGTGCGTCTCAAATGCACCTTATTGTTGATGTTGAAGGCGTGAGTAGTAGTTGGAACCTTGAAACCCTTTGACATCTCCGTGGACTGGACTCGCTGTTGGTTTTCGCAGTTTTGAAATCGTTGTGACTCACCACAAGGCATAATTAGTGCGAATACTTTTGCCGAATAGTTGCAAGACCAAACAGGTAACCTCCCAGGTGGCTTATTGGTCACTTACCACTCACAAAATGTGCCTCTCTTTTGACTGACCTACCATTGCAGCAGTTTGAGGTGTGTTCTTCTGGCGTCACGTATATGTGACACACATTCTCACGAAATTTCCTCCAGAACCTTTTGCAGCCCCCTTTACCACATCCAATCAAACTAATTGACTTGATAAACAAAAATTGATAGTTTTAATTTAATGCAATGCAAAGAATAGTGGAAGGGGAGTGTTAGTGACGAAAGAATAAAGGTAGGCAGTTGACCTTGAGTTAGGCTAGTGACTAGTTTTTGACTACCATGGGCACAGTTGAGTAGATATAACGGAATTCGTTTGCATGCTGCGAAATTGCACTTGAATAGGAGATTTGAAGTGTCGCATTGTAGCCTAGTATTGGTCAGTTTTGATTTAACTTCGCGAATCCCATACACTTCTTCCCGAATATCTGTCGACCTTGTTTTACGCTAGTGAATACGCTCAGGCCGTCCTGTTCGCTGTTGAGTACATTTAATCAAACTCGTTTCTATTTTTCCAAATTGCGCATGAAAGTGACATTTAAATGATTGCATTGTGGTCTGTTCTTGGTTGGTGCTGGCCTGAATGCGTGAATCGTATCGGCTTCTCTCCGAATTACTGTCGACCTTAAGTTACACTAGTGAATATATTCCGATTGTCCTATTCACCTTTGAGCAGATACAATCAAATTCATTTCCATGTTTCCAAATTGCACTTGAATTGGAGATTTGAATGATTATATTGAAGCCTGTTCTTGGTCAGTGCTGGCTTGACTGCGCGAACCTTTAGCCCTTTTAGACATATATGATCGGATCTTTTCTATAATTTCAATTGCAGAATGATACTTCTCGCGTCTGATGGCATTGCTGCTTAAGTAGACTTCAAGCGGGGGTCAAATCTTGATAGTTGTAAGTTCCTCTCAATGTACTGATGCGGATGTTCTAATAAGTAATCCTGAAGAGAAGTGAAAGTAGGTAATTGAGGCTGAACTTGCTGGCCTCAGTTAGCTCAAGCCTACTTTTTCAGGTTGCGCTCTTCACCTTTGTGCTTTTTTATCAGTCTTATTATAATATTTTGCGCTTTACATTTCGCGTAACGTATTCGCCTTAAATTGCATAAAATTAGCCTTGATGACCACTTACAATATAAATGGGATATTAGGGTAGTAAAAGCACATACCTTAAGAGATATTCGGAGGGTTGTTATCCACTCCTAAATATTAACTAATAAGCCTTGGAGAATTGCAGGCGTGTTAGCATTTGAATGTGATTTCAGTGGATTTTTCACATACCCTAGTAGCGACATTAGAAATTCGTTCTTTTCATCTTTTGTGCTTGATACATGATGTACGAAGGGAGAAGTGCGGATGTCGGTCCATTTGGAGCCTCAGCCGCCTTTGCTACTGCTGTTGCAGCAGAATTTGCAATGGCGATGGATATCATTGTTTAAGTGATCTTAGTGAGTTTCTCTCACCTTACAGTGATTTCCACCACCACACGGCTTCTTTATCCATCAGAACATGTTTTTCCGTCATTCAAACATCCACACCACAGTGATATTTTTATTTGCGCTAAATCCCCGCACTCTCAAATAGTTTGGTTCAGTCAAGCCACGGATTTGCTTAATCGCACAATTCGTTTAGCTTGTAAACGCCCATCTTGGTCAGCAGTGGTGCAGGCCCAGCCCTCATATCTGATCCTCCTTGCCTCAGGCTTGCCTATTTTGAGGAAAGGCAATTTAGAAATCCTTGAACCCGATCACGAATTTTTTTTACTTTATCAACGCTTTGATAAACCGAAACTCGTTTATCGACAAACTTTTTTGCTTCCTTATTTGTTGAGAGAATTCGAAATTTGCGTGATTTGGCTTCGTCTGTTCAATTATTTCCTAACACAGTCACTGCTAGGTTTTCAGCGACAACTATCCAAGTGTTTTATTGTTCCCATTAGGTTTTTTAACCAACTCAATCATTGATGAAGGGAAATAAATGTACAGGTCTCCTCAGTCAATGGTGAATCTACACTGCTTTTTCTGATTTTGAATTAGCTTTTCTTTAGGTGCGACAGCTTGGCGCGTTCATTCGCTTT